TAGTCGAAATCTTTTAGGCTTATGGGTGCTTTTAGATATTTCATTCTTCTCTTATTTACTTTGAGTAGTTTTTAAATTGATTTTCCATCAATGATCCCATACCTCATTGTTTCCAGAGCTACTTCTCCTATTTTTGTCGCATCTTCTTAAAAATGTTATTTCTCAAGGTTAAAGTTTGTGTGTTCCAAGAATTTTGTCACCAAGTTACCATATAGTAATCATATTCCTTTTCTCTTTCTTACCAACATGTTTTGAATTACTTAACTTGCCTAGTTTATTTTGATTTTGTTTGCAATCATCCATACAATTTCAACATCAAAACTGGTTAAGTGACTGAAATTGCTTTTTCTTGGGAAGAGTATGTGATTGGTCACATAGTGGATCATAACCAAATCTTCTCAAATTGGATTATCCAATTGATTTAATTAAGGCTCCAATCGATTGGATCCTTATACTTTTAAGGATCTTTTGCAAATTCCATTAATGCACGGATTTGATTGACTTGGGGGAGAATTTTGTATTTAATTTGATTTGAAAATTCAAGTTCCAAGGTAATCCAATTGATTGGCTTGTGGCCTTAATCGATTGGGATTTTGTAATTCAGCCTCCTTAGTGCTTTTTTTGGGGCTTTAAGATGTATTTTACTTTGGAACTCATTCTTTTTGCACCCATGAGCTTGTTTGTACCTATTTCTAAAAAAACACTAGAAAACTCATCTATTTCATTAATAAAAAAAAATTTTACAGGTGAGAAGTTTAATAAATGCACTATTTTAAAGGGTTAATCAAAGATTTTTTATTATTCGACCTTAAAATAATGTTCTACCTTGATTACTAAGTAACCTTGATAAAAACTCCCCCTTTCAAGGAAATGCCAACATTATGTGGTATGTCCTTCTCTACGAATAATTGAATACGAGAGTTGGTTAAATCATGGGAGATATGTCCACCACAAACTTATCTTCTCAACCTACTAAGAGCTCAGCAAATCATCGTAAATCAAAGATGTTGATACCACTCTCATCGAAAAACTTGATGATCACAAACGTTGATATATATCATCAACGAAAATCCTTGGATCATAGATTTCAATTCAAACTAGTATATACTCAAGAGTGTACTCTTTTCTTTGCACAAATTTATTTAATATGTGATAAGGCTTCATGAAAGCTGCAAAGCATTCATGCAAAAACATATTAAGGTTTCACCTTTGATACCCATATTTTCTTGGATCTTGGTGCGTTAGTAATTCTAAAAGGTTTTGGGTTGCTACCTTTATACCTTTTCAATTTATTAAAACAAAACGGCTCTAAATGGCCAAATATATTGCAATGAAAATGTTTATAAATATGTCGATCACTTTCTTTCTATTTAATTCATTACTATATGTTCTATCATACTTGAACCCTAACCCATATTTATTTAAGGGATGCCTTTTACTTGAGAAAATCAAGTCAAAGTTACTATGTGTTACTACAAACAATATTATGAATACTTTGTAAGCTTTGCAAATCAATGTCATATTAGCAAAGAGCAAGTACATAGACATAAGTGTTATTTATTCATTATTATTTCTTAAGAAATTTAAACACTTGTAGTCAAGCTTTATTGAGTTTACCACTTTGTGTTAGTTATTCTAAACAAAATGCATTAGTAATTTTGTCAAGTTCTTGAGTGTGATTATGAGTGGAAAAAGGATGTGCCGAGCTAGACTTTGTCAAGTCTGAGTTTGGTCTGCTAAAAAAATTCAAAGCCTAAGTCTGGTTTGTAGTCTATCATAGGTTTATTTTTAGGTCTAAGTCTGGCCTTTTCAAAGGCCTGATTGGCCTACTAGCCTATTTAAAAGCTCACTTCATTTGAACGTTTGTAAATAAGAAATTCAATTAATGTTAAATAGACTAACAAATTAAAAGATCATTGAGACTAAATATTTGTTTTCATTGTCTCATTCAAGTTTACCTATTAGCATAAGTTTGGTGATACTATTTGTTGAAGAGAAATTATAGAAAAAATCTTATAACAACAATTTATGACATTGTTTATAATGTTTTTTCAACTTATTTTTATAAGTTGTTCAAAATAACTAAGCTTTATTTTTTGTATTTTAATTCGAAGTACAAAATACAATATAATAATAATAAACTTATTGAATTTTTTATAAATAAGTCGGCTTGATAGACTTAAAAGTTTTTTTTACGGTTTGTAGCCTATCCTCTTTAACTAAATAGATTTATAAAAAAACTTAGGTATTTTCTATTTAAGAAAAAACCTGGTCTGTCCTAGGCCTATGTAAGCTAGGTCGTAACCCTCTTTTAGTTGGTCTGATCTACTCTCATCTCTAAGTGTGATGTAATGAAGTTCTTAAAGGTTTAAGTCATGGAAGTCTATAATAAAAGTTTTTTTCTATTAAAAAAAATTGATATCCGACCCTATAACACTAACTCAATGTAGGTTAATCACACTATTTGTAAGGAGTCATTTAAAGTCAGAACAGATTTCTGTAAAGACTTTCGAATTTGAGACTTTGAAATAACTATACTTTTAAATCTTAAGTCTTCACCGATAAAAAAAATTCATTGGACTTGATAACAGTTATTATATTGGTTATTTGTATTCAATGTCTGATTATAATGAAAATATATCGAACCAAAAAGAGATAGAATAAATTCTAGTTAATAGGATAAACCAATATAAAACAACATTGCTAACTTGTTCCACCAAAACACATGAAACAAATATTTATGGCCGGTTTGAATGAATATTAGTTAATCAATTTTATTAGAGTTTTGATGAAAAAAATAAAAAACATGTTTGATAATCTAACTTTTTAAAATAATTTTAAAATTGAACAAAAAATGTATCACTTTTCTTTATTTTTTTCTTCTAATTTCTAAAAATAAAATAAAAAATCTCAACAAAAAATAAACTATTTTAATTTTTTAGTTTTCAAAACTCTCAAATAAATAATAATTTTTAAAAATTATTTCATAAAAACAAGTTTTAAGATTTTAAAATTTTAAAATCTAAAGATTAAAGATTAAACTTTTAATAACGTTTAAAAGTGTTATAATTTTATAAAAATTATTATAACAAATCTTTTAATAACGGGTGTTAAAAACTATTAAAACTAAATAAGTTTTTTATTAAATCTCACCTCTTCTTTTTTTTCTAAAAATTGCATATTTTATGCACGTAATTTCATATGCTTTTTTTTTCTAGAATCAGGAAAGACCATAATGACCACAAAACTCTATATTTTTTAGTACTATATGGGATGACTAATGATAACATTAAAAAAACATAAAATAAAATAAAAAGCGAATAAAAAATGAAAAGACTACAATGAATATTAAATAAAAAATGAAAAATATATTTAAAACATTTTATTTTATTCAAGTTCAAAGAAATGAAGGACTTCAAAACCAACAGACACAAAAAACAAATATAGAGTTATGCATATGTACAATGGGACCCGTTTTGATCCTAATATCCACCAGATTTTGACTCACATGAACATCACAAACCTGGCCCATGCTGTTGGATATTTTTCTTCATAACCAGAAAAAAGGTACATATATATCATATTTTATTTTAATTTAATATTAAAAATACAATAATATTAAATATTTCTAAGTAGAATTTTGTCGTCTATTATAATCAAGTAGAGTTTTTGAAATTAATGTAAATTGTGAGTGAATTTTAATAAATATTTTTTAAAAATTGCAAATTTATATATTGAATTCATTATTTTTGGATGGGCAGGTTAAATGCTCTAAATTCTCCCTCAACATTTACCACATTATAAAACTAATATCCATCCATGAATTTCCTTTTTCATATAGCTTTATTTTGCGTGTGCATTTTTTCTGTCTCCAAACTTTTGAGCTTTCATCTCTTAAATTTGGACATTGCCTACGAATCCTTTTGCCATAGCCTCAGACAATAATTCAAAGCTAGTTATACAATTATTATTATTTCAAAAAGTAAAAGTAATTGCTACTTCAACATTTCAACCCCTCCTCTACATAAATGGATAAAAAGAGACTATACATATATATAGTATATAGTGACTTTACGTTTCAATGTAACCTCTCTGTTGGCATCAGTAATATATTTCAATTCGAGTTTTGTTTGAAAAAAGATGTTAAACAGCTGGTCACAGCTGGCAATTCAGTTTCTAGATAAAAAAATTGTAATTGCTATTTTGAAAAATTCTTGTACTTTAAATTATAGGACTTTGATTTGACATGCTTACTTTACTTATTTTCCACCGTTGATAATTGAAAATAAACCCACTACTTTAATTTTATCGTTTTTTATGCCAATGTTTACACTCTACTCCAACTATATACTATGTGCATTGGAAAAATACCAAAAAATAACGTTGAAAAAGCTCTTATTCTTGGTCGCAGTTGCCCCCACCAAACACATGCTATGACAAAGAGATAACATATTTTTAAGGTTGTTTCCCGTTGATTACTATTGCATTTGACAAAACTGAGACATTTGCAGGCAAAAATGTTCCTAAAAAACTATAGGACAATGCCTCTAAAACACCGACATTTCTCAATGTGAGACACAAAGAGTGACACAACACCAACACATGTGATATTAATCAACTTTTTCATTTTCTTTTCAAATTTTTGGCGGTGTCAAAGTGTCAAGGAGAAGGAGAATATGAGACATATACAATCACAAGTATATGGAAACCCACTTCCCATGGGAGCAGCACATTATAATCAAAAGCTAAGGGAAGCCTTAAAACTTCATTCAAGATCCAAGTTTTTGGTCACATATCTACATAATATAACTAGGTGGTGCTACACAAGAGTCATTCTATATATAACCTCTTAACAACCTACTACTAATTGAGATCCGAAAGATACTTACTACTTAGTATCTGCTAAATATGTTACATAGTACCACGGGAAATGGATATTCTTTGTTAGCATTAGAATATATAACTTCATAAACATCAGCATTTGGCTCGGCTCAGCTCCATCATTTGCACATAGTTGTCTTCAACCTCTTTGCAGCTTTGACAAATCCTCGAATGACTTGCAACTCGTCCATTTGCTTCATAAACAAAAGAACAAATCATAATTTCAGCCAAACAAATTAACAAATTTGAATTGCCAGCAATCATAATAATCTCAAGCGTTCATGCAGTTTGATCTAGATCAGTAATTGTTTGATCAAGAACAGACTGCATTAAGCAAGTCGATTTTGATTTTTCTGGATCCAGTGGTTACCGATGTGCATACTTGGTGGATGCATGGGATTTGTGACAGCAGGAAACCAAATCCAGATGGAACCACATAATGTTCAACCAAATAAAAATGTTGAAGAAACTGAACAAATACACAGAAACAAAGATCGTAATGTACCTGCGACATGAAATGCCTCTGAACAACATCTACCAGCTGCTCTTTGGATGGGTTTGGAACAGCATCCACCTACATATCCATCTATTATGTAAGCTTTTATTCCACACTACAGCAGCCAAAAAAAGATGAGTAAAACAATTTGCTTACCAGATTGAAGTGTCGCCAATATCTCCACAATGCAGCCATTTCCAATTTGCTCAAATCAACCTTCTACATAATTTTTTTAATAGCTGAATCATCAATAACATAATCACAAAATCAATTAGTGAAAGAGGAAAAAGGTTTGGCTGATATACCGTCCACCCATGAGGCATGGAAATGGATCCCTTGGATTGTGAATCAACAGAGAAGGATCTGCTCATGCTCTTGTGAGATGATCCTAATGATCTATGCATCCTGTGCCTTGATTTGTGGGACTTTTGAGTTTCATCAGATGCTGAGAAATCAAACATAGCACAATCAAAATCAGCAACAACGGCAAAAAGGAGCTATAGAACATAACTCCGGGAGCATTATCAGTAAACAATTAAGACAAATATGAATCATAAAACCTTTATGTATATACTAATTTGAAACTCACCCATATCTGATCCATGCCACTGAGTATTCTCAAATTCAAGGTCATCATCTACCTCATTGCCGGTAGGTGGTTCAATCACACTAAGAGCATTCCTCTGCAGCTTCACTTCAATACCATTGGTAAGAACCTGCAATATTATTGCATAAAACACATTGTAAACTAATCATCCATGCTACAACTGTATACAAAACTTAGACATCACATAACAAATCTACAATCTCTAAATAATAAGGCTGATTTAGATCCAAGTAGGATATGAAAAAACTCATGGTCAAAGCATGCATGTAACTAAGAGTAATAATCAAAGACATAAGTTGGAAAAAAATATCATCAAGTAAAGATTTTTACTCTTTAAAATAGGAAATATTGAATAAAATAGACAAAATTCAAGTTCATAATAAATACCTAATTTAACAAAGATTTTTTCCCAAGCCCCATTTTAAGAATTACCAATAGCATAAACCCAAGGCAAAGAACATTTTCAAAAATCAAAATTCCTTTGAAGAAACACCAGATCCATAAACAAAGTAAGCTCCATTAGAATTACAAAACCAAAAACCCAATAATTAGAAATGAAAAATTCAATGAGGTCCACTTTGAAATTAATTTGAAAAAGATTTTTTAATTTAAGAAATAAATTAAATAAGCCGAGTTAATGAATTGACTAAAAAATCACATTTTGAACAAATTAAGAACACGTTGATTTGAGTTATTTGTTATAGATATGAATACCTAAAAAACACATTTTGAATATGAAAATAGGAAAAGAGAAAAACGAAGTGAAATTGATGAAGAAAATTACCAGCCAATGCCAACCTCCAAGTCCAACAGCTTTCTTGACAACACCACGAAGACCAACGAGTACCGATTTGGTGCGATTGTTTCCAGTTACAACGACTTTGGTGTGACGTGGAAGAACTGAGAGTTCTTCTTCACTGCTATCACCGAAGCTCTGTAAATGTTGCGAGAAACCACCGTTCACTGAACTTTCCATTGCTTCCAACATTTTTCTGAAAAGGAGAATTGAAATTAAGAGATGGAGGAAGAGAGAAAGGTGATTATTATAGATCGAAAGCGCGATGGCGGAGATGATTCTGCATTGGTGATGATGAATTGAGTGGAAATTGAGGGAGAGAAAATTGGGGGAAAATTGATGAGAGAGAAATGGAGTGAAGAGAAGTGGTGGGTGGATAGAGGAGAGAGAGAAGAAAAGGGGATGTGTTTAGTGAGAGACAGTACAGAGGAGAGAGAGAGTAAGGGAAGGGGGGTGTTGGTATGAATCCCGACGAGAGGGAAAGGACGAATAAGAGAGTGACACGTGGTGGAGAGAGGTTGATATCTTCAATCATAGTTGTGGGAGAGAGAGAGAGTGTATGAAGGCATGATGCAACGCCCCCACTAAACAGGTTCGTTGTTTTGGTTTTGTTTTTTGATTTTGAGGAGAAGTTACTCAAGTTGACCTCTTGACTTTTTTGCTCTTTCTTTGTTTTTTCCTTTGCCTCCTAAAGTACTATATACCAATATTGCTCTTTTATATATATAAAAGTAAGGATTTACTTTTTGAAATAGTAAATTTTTTATAACTTAATTCATAATCATGATTTTTAAATTAGATTTAATCGAATGATCATAAATATAAAAGATAATTTAACTATTAGATCAAATTCAATTTAAAAGACTTGTTGTGAAGTAAATTTAAAAAAATTTATTTTTGAAATAAATTGATCTTCAAAATATATATATATATATATATATATATATATATATATATATATATTCAAATTATTTGACTTTATTATTATTATTATTATTATTATTATTATTATTATATTTTCTCTAATCCTTATTGTAAGAGAAAACATTTTTTAGATTTATATAAGGATTAATGTATTTGATTTATATATGACCAAATACATTGATAATTAAATGAATTTAAAAAATAAATTTTATCTTATAATAAATATTATAGAGAGTATTTTTTAAATTACACATATGACTAAAAAATATTTTTTTTATTGGAAATGACAATTTTTAAGTTTTTTTTTATTTATGTATTAACTTCTTTGACTAATGTCCTAAAATTATTGATCGGTATATTTTCAATGATTATTATAAATTAACATATTTTTTAAATAATATATTTAAATATGATATATTAGTTATTTATTGAATTTTTGAAAATATAATTTTTTTATGATAATGATCAAATGGATAATGTTAAGAATATTTCTAATAGAAGTATGATAGAGGACTTTATAGCAACATAATCTTATATTTTAGTTTTTTTATTAGTGGAGAAATTGTTTGTAGAATTTGGTATGGGCCTTTTTTTATATAAACTCGTGTATTGAAAAAGAAAAGGAAATAAGAAATTATTAAGCTAAAATAGGCCAAAATTTCAAAGAAACACTTAGAAAAATTAAGAGAATTTATAATTACGAACAACTAACTTATTTTTAACAAACTCGCTTATAATAGTCAGAGGAGGTGTCTGCCACTAAGTGAAATCATCAAGGGATAAATCAAGATTAGCAAGGGCATCATCATAGTGGTTTTCTTTTCTAAAGATATTAGTGATGACAAAATTCATTGAGCTGGTTATGAATGTGCAGTTGCTCTATTAATTGCTTAGCTACTGATAACACGAAATCATATAGATATTTTTATGCATAATTCAACTAAAGTCTAACCGTTTTCGATCCGATTTCGGGTTATTTCCATGTATTTGTCTGATGTTTTTGCAGGTATTCAACGATCACGTCTAAACAAGGCAACATGAAGAAACGAAGCAATCCCAGACGAAATATGGACGAAAAAGGAGTGAAAACACAATGAAAAGCGCAGCAGACAGTTTTTGCTGATGTGACGACCGTCACATGCATGAGGACCGTCACACGGGTGACGACCGTCACACCTTGTGACGACCGTCATGCAGGCAAAAACGCCCCACTCAGATTACACGTCAAAAGAGCAGTTCCAATTCCCATTAAATGGTCCACTACTCCCTAAATTATCTGCCTCAAGGTCCATCATCCTCAGAGGTAACCGTTGGAATTCCACATCTATAAAAAGGGAGCAGGGGACTTCAAAAAGGGAGCTGCATTCATACCACGAAGTGCTGCCAAATTTACTTTCCAGCAAATTTACTTTCAGTTATTATTTGTATCCATTTCTCCAGTTTCATTTGTATCCCTTTCCTTTATTTCCCTTTCCATTCTACTCATTCCCATTTCCGCTCTTCTGTAATTGTTACTGCACTGTACGATCGAATTGGAACTAAAGACAGAATCCTGCCAACATCTGTGGAGGATCTGCCCAAAGGCCAATTGGCATTATTTACAGGTTTTCATTTTGATCGACTTCTATTTTATCATAATGCAATTTATTATTTATTATTATTATTTATGTTTTGCTTTTCCAAATTCCATGTCTAGCTAAACTTAGGTAATCGATATGTAGTAATAATTCGAATGGGATTTGATAGCTCTTGTTTGAAAACTTTCTTTTCACAAAAATAACTTATGGTCTAAGTGTTTAAAATTGATTTACGAAATAAACTTCGTCGCGAAAGCGAGAACTTGTTTTAAAGTAGTTTTGCCACGAAAGTGGGAAATTAATTAAGATACGAACCAACAAGCGAAAGCTGCGGTAAGGTCAGATAGTAAACACTAGGCATTTGTTTTAATAACAGCGAAAGCACTTTAAAACGAATTAGAACTTAGAGATTTCCAAAAAGTAATTTTAACCCCGAACGGAACACGAAAGTGTACGTTAGGCCCTTAGGATTATGATTAGCGTCAATAACCATCGTGAGACGAGAGTCTTCAGATCTCCACTTTCTACTTAAATAAACTGTGAAAACTATTTCATACACCATAACTTATCAAATCCCTGAAGAACATAATTACTACGTATCGATTCAATTAATTAAAATCTAAATAGTAAACTTAGTTCCCTCTTTTAGTGACAAATCTTATTCCCTTAAAACACATTCTACCTAGCTAAACATAGTAACTCCCGAGAACACTAGTTTGATTACGAGTCCCTGTGGGATCGATATCTTTTATTACTACGCGATAGACTGTGCACTTGCAGTCAGTTGTATTAGACATAGAAAGTCGCGATCAGCTACTAAGGAACAATGTTGTGTTTCTTGAAGGCCAACATAGATACTAAAGAGTTTGTTTTTATCCATAAGAAGTTTTAGCTTTTATTGGCTACATGTTCAATAACAAGGATGATACACGTGAGCTCAGCATAAAGAGAGTCATGCGCACCAAGGATAATGGCAAAACAACCAAGGCAATCACTGGAAGCATATATTAAAATCCCACCACAAGATGCATGGCCAAATTTTCTAAGAGAGGAACCATATTTGTTATATTTTATCCATGGAAGATTATGAGGGAACGATATCACTTCCTCAATTCGAGAAGCCTTAGAGGGATGATATTGAACCTTGAAACCTCGAGAACAATGAAATCCTACATGGAAAGACCAGTGCCGAGGTTGGTTGCATTGTCTGTTAACAACACAGAAGCAAGAACGTTAGTGATTGCAGTGTTTACAGATGTTATCATGTTTTTGAACCTTAGGTCATTTCTACTTTGCCATATATCTTTGAAAGTGACAATGATATAAGCACATATGACAAGAGATCATCTAGAGCTCCAGCCTTTTTTTGTTGCAAATATTGAGAATGGATATTGATCTTACCTGATCAGAAAGGAATTAATAGTCTGCCACGCGTCGTGACTTGTTGCCTTCACCGGTGTAGTGGAGGAGAAAAAGGGGGTGTACATGCAAGATGCTCTGATGCTTAAGTGAGTATTGGAACTAGAGAGAGCAAGTACAAGGAGAAGATGTAATGAATAGAATACCTGACTCTTTAGTGAATGAGAGTATTTATAATGTGCCTCCAGGGCAGGGCCGACAGTTACATTGCATTAGGCCAGATTGTCAAGCCCAATACAAGTAACTGTCAGGGCTGGATGGATGCAGAGCTTCTGGTGCTGCCACGTGTCAGACAGTTATTGCTTAGCTAGAACAGCTAAGGGTAGGGGCGTTTGAGTGCCTAGGGCACCTCGAGTCTCGTGCTAGACTTATAAATAGGACCGAGTTTGCTTCATTTCTCACTTTTCACTCCTATCGCTCAAGGCGCTTCCTCTTCTTCTCGTTCAAGCTTCCCAACTTTCAGCACTGAGACGTCCGCTGCACGCCGTCGTATCCTCCTCCCAGAACCTTCATACCAAGTAAGTCTCTGCTGCCTTATCTTCGCTTTTACTATTTTCCAGCGGTTTCTCCGGTGGACCTAGTGAATGCCCCAGGGAGACCATGGAGTTTAGTTTCTGGCAAATACGTTGGGGCTTATTTGAATTAATGTAGTGCTAGGATGAATCCCCCGGGAACAAACGGTGAAGCCCCCGGGCACGTAGGATAGTTTTGGATTAATTTCTCGGGAACAAACGATGAATTCCTCGAGCACGTAGGATAGTTTTGGGTAAACCCCCCAGGGAAAAACGATGAAGTCCCTGGGGAGGTATGATAGTTTTGATGAATCCCCCAGGGACAAATGATGAAGTCCCCGGGGAGGTATGATAGTTTGACCAAACTTCCCGGGGACAGGAAGTGAGGTCCCCCGGGGACGTTGGATAGTTTCGCATGAACTTCCCGGGGACAAATGCTTGAAGTCTCGGGGGTCTGCTCTCGTCTGTCGAGGAGAGAGAGTCCTTGTCTGTAAGGGCTCTCCCCTCTTCGCCTTTTCACTTGATATGCGGTGGAAGGGTGGATTTTATTTTGAATGTCAAATTCACCGGTTTCCTCTGCTTTTTAGGTGTAAATGGATGCATAGGTTCAAGGAATTATTGAAACTGACGACGAGGCAGCCTCCTCGATGGCGCAGGTCGGCAAAGAGTGCAGAAGGTCTGCCGCGGACTGGGCCGGCGAAGAGCCCTTGAGCATCTCCTCTCGCTTCGTTATGGATGAGTCTGACGCTTACGCCAATGT